GACTCCTTCTTGCTCTTGAGGCAGCAACACACCCCTTTATCCCAAACGATATTCTCCCGAAGATATGGAACAAACAGAGAGAGAGAGCCTCATAGGTGGTATTGTACAGATGGTGTATACAATATAGTGAGATAGTAATAGATATGCTCACCTTAGACAGAGCCTTGAATTCCTGGCTCTGAGGTTTGTTGGCAATGTGCTAATTTATTGGGATAGCATTCCCCACATGGTGTTCCTGGAGGCTAGAAAGGACTATATGGACTAATATATAAAAAAATAACAATTTATTGTAGAGATAAAAAAATAATAATAAAAACAATATTTAGACTTCTCAAAAGCACATAAGCTAAATGATGGAAAGTCCAAGTATAAAAGTCCAAACTCCAGCTAAACGCGTTTCACTCTTGTATGAGCTTCCTCAGTAGCTGTGAAGTAGCCTCAGGAATCTTCCACTTTATAAGTGCTCTAAAGTTGATTCGGATCCTCCCTTTGAGGTCACAGGATGTGTGATTATCCAATCATAAGGTCAGAGTCTCTTTCAAATTTCTTATATTGATCACCTGTAGTAAAAAAGCTTACATTGGCTAAATTGCCTGTCAATCAATCAAAAAGCTTGATTATTATTGGTGGTTGGATGGTGCTGTATTTTTCAAATTTCCTATATTGATCACCTGTGGTAAAAAAGCTTGCATTGGCTGAATTGCCTGTCAATCAGTTAAAAAACTTATTCTATTGGTGGTTGAATAGGGCTGTCTTTCTCAAATTTTTTTTATATACTGATCACCTGTGGTAAAAAGGCTTTCATTAGCTGAATTGCCTGTCAATCAATTAAAAAACTTGATTAGAACAAATTCTATTGGTGATTGGATGGGGCTGTCATGTATAGCACCCATTCAGGGCAGTGGTTGGCGGAAGTGACATCACTTCCGCCCTCCAACATCTTCCCAAATGTCATTGTTAAAAAAAAAAAAAAAAAACGGAATGCATATTAACAAAGTGAAATAGATTATAGATTAGAAATTAGGCATTCATAAGGTGCCTCCCCAGATGGTGGCGGGGGCTGTTGTCCACTTCCCTGGATGTACGCCACTGGAATACAGGACTTCAGGTGGTCAGTTGAAAAAAGCAGCTTTTATTGAATACAGCATAAAAAAATATTTTAAATAAATAATAAGAATGAGGTCAGTCCTACGCGTTTCGTCCTTAGAAATAGGACTTCTTCAGGGTAAATATATTAAAAGCGAATCATAAAATGACAATATGCCACAAAAAAGCAGCCTCACAACCCCCACCCTCAAGTCTCCTTAGGGCTAATCCCTAAGTTTAGTGGTCCAGTGGGCGTCCTCTTTCTTCCTATTGGGCTTTGCATCACCTGGATCACTTGTCTCGTCGATGTAATCTTCCTCCATTTAACACAGCTGTTGTCCGTATGTCCTTGAGTGAAACCGGAAGTGAGATGCGTTCCACCTAGCATGTGTTATGCGTTCCATCAGTGGCTCTTCCTGATTCATAATCCAGACAGCCATGCACAAAGCCCTGGAATCCTAGATATTAAAGAGACAAACAAAAATTGACAAACAATTGTAGAGCACTGAACCACTTTGTAATTCTATTTGTAATTTTCAAATTAATTGTATTTTATCACATTTTGTACACTTCTGAATACTTCAGCGCCACTTTTATTTTAACCTATTTTACATGTATGAATATATAAAATATAAACATACATATATATGAAGCTACAAATAAAAATTTGTATGAAAAAAATACAAATATATAAAAAAAATTATATATACAAAAAAAACCACAATATGTATTTTTAAGCCTATACAAAAATCCATACAAGAAAAGACATTTCCCAAGAAGCCCTCCTACATATGGACGTCCGATATTTGAATAGAATTTGGTGTTTCCAGAGAATGAGAAGACATTATGACACTGGAGTCCGAGACACGGAAGGTGGAACGCACGTGGGACTGGGTTCCACAACTATACACATAACAAAATGGGGCTATTTAAAGGAAGACCACTAGATACATCATAGATTCCTGAAGAAGTCCACCACAGGATGAAACACTTTGGATATTGAGACTTTTGTTTGTTTCTATAGTTTTTCAGGTGTTTGTTGTTTTTATGCCTTTTTACACTACTAACCATCTGCGGAAAGCGGATTTTTTTTCTAGCATGATACCACTGGATTTGGAGATATACATCTTTAATATCTACCTCTTAGGCATAGTTCTTCAAAATACAACCTTCAGATCTACGGATTACACTTTATAAAGGGAGACAAGCCTGAATTACCCTTTACTTTGCAAGTTTTCGACCATCCCCTACCCTCCATATATTTTGTACTTTATTACACCATGTACAGTTTTATTTTAGAGACAGGGATATATTATTAAGCATTCCTTACTTTACATAAGTTTGGGGTTTTACACTGTTTGATTTTCTTTTTTATTCACAGTAGACTTACTTCCTTTGTTTTTTGTGTGATTATTTTTGAGTGTTTGGAGGGAAGACTGTTTTTAGGAAGTATTTCACTATTTCGTTCACAGTTTTTTTAGTAGGATCTATTTGGTCACAATCCTCTAAGAAACTGGTGTCAGACTGGCAAAAAGTCTCCAGCCTGTTTCACATCAGACCCGGCAGGACTCTTCTCCGGCCTATATGCATTCTTCAATGCCACAATCTAGTTTAGGTACCGGTATTTAGCCACTTAAGTAAAGTTTAGTTGTTCTATATGCTTTCTTTTGATTTGCACTATAGTCCTAATAATTATTTGCACAAATATATGGGTGGTAGCCCCTTTATAGCCCCACAAGTTGTGAGACTGGGTATGACCCCCTCCCCCCAAGAGTCACCTAGGATACTCAGCGACCCCCTTTAGCTCAACATCATGCTGTTTTACAATTTCTATTGTTGATTTATTACGCTGGTTATATAACAACAACATGTCAATCTACAACTCTATTGGTTGTTGACGACCCATGATATCTGGGTACGTTCGGCCTTATCTGATGTGCCCCATGGTACTAGGCACTAAGGACAGGCCCGATTACCGGGACTATATGTATATACTTCAGTTTTCTTTGATTATTACAATTTTTTTTTTTTTTCTCTTACTCGACCATTCCTGTACCCTCTGCCTAATAATTCCGGGCATCATGCCTGTCACAAATCAGCTCTCTGAGCAACTTCTGTGGCCCAATGTTATCACACTCACAAGGACATAGACCCTTTGAACCTACTCACTCTCAACGTGGTCATACGGTTGCCTGGTGGACCCATACATCCAACTGACCCTAGGAACCCCAGTAGGGGGATATCCGAGCCTTAGAAATTTGAAGCTTGGGATAACACTGATGTTGCTCACTCCCCCCACCCCATGGTTAGAAACATTTTCAATCAATAGGAGCACTTGTTATCACAGCAATTTCTCTACATCCAATTCATTATGAAAATATATTTACATAACACCAGAGGCCTGAATACACCTCACAAACGACGTATGTTATTACACAATGCAGAGCATGCAAAGGCATATATATATATTATGCCTTCAAGAAACTCACCTCGCCAGAGCAAATATGCCAACCCTTGCTATGCAACACACTCTACACATACTTTGAAGTTGTAGGGATTATCTATATTTATTCACAGATCAGTGTCATTTGGTAACTCCATTTACTTTAGCGAACATTTACACCCATACAAAATTAAACCCTGCGCTCAAACTCCCACTAATCTTGGGCAGCAGCAATGACTATAGTATACATCAGACTCAATACATACCATAAAAACCATAGAAAAAAGTTACTTGCACATGTGTGATAAAACGTATTACATGTTAAGGTGGGAGAGTGAGCTGGGTGGGATATACACAGTAGAGAAGTGGAATTATTTTTTATCATTTAAAGATATCACTCAATGTGCAAACCATTTGGAATCCCATTACAAATTAATTTATAGATGGTACCTAACCCCTTCTAAACTTTTTAGCATGCACCTTAGCGAAAAAAATTAATGTTGGAGAGACTGCGGTCAAATTGGTACATAATTCCACTTCCTCCATTCGTGTCCCAAAATTAAAACTTATTGGCTGAAAATTCTCAAATTAATCACATAATAGAATTTGAATGAAAACTACCCCCGTGTCTTTGTCTCTTTAAGAAAATTCCATCTAACCTGCCTAGATACAAAAAAAAATTATACTAGGCCATCTTCTCATATTTGCTAATTTCATCATCTCTCGTCTTTGAAAGTCACCCACTGTACCAATTATGGTTGAGGTCTTTCTCTCATTTGTTAAAATAAAAGGCGTGATTTGGCTTTTTCGTGATCCATCTACTTTCACATCTATATTGCAGCATGAATGGTCAATGTGGGAAGATGATGTGAAAGATAAATTCGGACTTTAACCATGTTCCCACCTGACTGAATACATATTCTGCTTCCGGATTATTTTTATTTTTTTTAGTGCCATGCTGTTATTAATCACTTGACACTTTATTTTATTTCTGTACATAGTTTACTTATTTCATATACAAATATTTACAAGATTTATGTGTATTTCATACGATTGCTTGTTTAGTTTTGACAATGGTTCATAAGTCATTATATATATGCCAATGTTGTTGTATATATTGTTTTAAAACATCAATAAAGATATTTGACACAGTATAATTAATCATCATGAAGGTGCATTTAAAGAGACACTCCAATGATAGAAACCCCCACAAAACACTTTAGTAAATGTATCTATTAAAAACGTGCCTGTTTTTAATTATGCATGGTTTCATAGGGGTTACATCTAAAAACAGCGTGGAAAATCTGCAGTTCTCTTCTCTGCTGCCTTTGCAAGGCCTCCCTTCTCCCCCAGATCTTCTGTAGCTCTCCAATCACAGACTTTCCAATGCAGCTCTATGAGAAGTCTACGCAAGGCAGATGATCTTCGTAATTGCCTGCTTAATGCGTGTAGATCCAGTGAGCTAAACAACCAAGAAGTAACAGGACCGACTGCCAGTGAGGTGTAGCAAGTTTTATTTGTAGAAGTGATAATTTCTATTGAAATCTGCACTTTTTGTAAAATGATATAAAAGAAGATACACTCTTCACACGTAAGGGGGTCTCCAGTGTCCCTTTAATACACGATGCAATAAAACAATTAAAATAAACTGAACAAATAGCTGTGTAGAACTGAAATATAAATAGTTTATTACTTAAATGTGGTCATTGGAACCGAGTAAGCTACCGCTGATACACCAATAAGGATTATTAAAAAAAAAAAAAAAGAAAAAAGATTTTTGAATATAATTTATTCATTTTTAATTTCTCCATCTAATGGAGAAAGACACCAATGTACCTTACATTATTCAACATAACAAAATTGGCATTTCACTATCACCTAGCAGTTTATGTAGCTCAAACATTTTATATAAACCCATAACAGAGAACATGTTTGGAATTACAGGCTACACATTGCCAGTCTTGCAGCAGTCTGTAATTACCAAACTGTACTTGGATATGAGTATTACAAAAATCCCTACCACTAGGAATGCAGATTACTGGACTCCTGTCCTACTATCTAGTGATAGTTGTGATCTTTTTTCAAATGGTTAAAGTCATATGTACACTGCTTTTACTTATTATATGTGATGATTAACAAAACAGAATATAGAGCAATCTGACGTTCATATAGAAATGAGCTTCCTTAAAAATGGTGCTGTCACTATCTGGGGACTTTGCATAATTTACCAAGAGCCCTGATGGTAACATCTTGTACATGCGTGAGTTTACAGTATTGAGGTCTATGTAGGATCTCGCAAGATCCTCCATAGATAGAGCCAATTCCCTGCGGCTGTCATTGGTAATGCCTGGGGGATTGGCACTTCAAGGCGGTGGTTGCTCCGCCCACTGTCTAGAAGTGTCAGGCGTATGAAAAATACTGAGACTAAGTAGTCCCTACTTTAAGACTGGATTGGAATTTCAGTGAAATTCCAACACAGGCAGTATGAGTATTTCAAAGATTGTATCAATATGAAATACTAATTTTGTAAAGGGGGAAAGGGTTGACAGTTCCACTTTAAGTTGCTAAACAGTTATTTTAGTGGATATACCTGAGTTCATCTTGCAAACCTCTAAGTAACTCTAATCAGGACTAGTTGATGAATGTCTGAGAAGCATGTTGGTCAAGAGTTGTAGCTTACTTTATAATTAGTGCATAGTATTCCTGAATGGGTTGTAAATAAAAAGGATTCAAAGTAAAATGAATTCAGCAACACATGCAAGTTGTGTAATGCTCAGCTGCTGCATGACGTTCTCTCCCTACTACAGGATCTCCTGTGATGCTTTTTGCTCCTGTATTTGTCTCTTCGATCTTTACCTCTGTGTCTGCTTTCTTTTGGGCTGTAATCACGAGAGGAATGTTTCTTGTGTCTTTTTTTAACTTTAAGTCCATCACTATCACTGCTCAAGTCTCGCTTGTGTTTTGATTTGTGTTTATGTACTTTTTCCCCAGTATGATAATCTGTACTAGAAACCTCTTGTCCTCTATTGCTTTCTGGTTCTTTTACAATTGGGGGAGGTTTAGATTCATTCACATATACATTCTGACTAACTAAATTTGGATTATGAAGTGGATTAATATTGTCAAAATTACTGGTATATGCAGATAGAGGTCTCCCAAGATGTATGCTGCTTATTTGTTTACAGTCCTGCACCAGAGGATACTCATAACTTGCTCCATTAATGCCCTGCAGATGTGTATTTGCATAGTGACAGTAAGGCTGTAGCGGCTGAAAGTCTGAAGGTGTCTGAGTAGAGGTAGATGTAACATAGTTAATTGGTAATTCATAGGGGACATTTCCACTTGGTTTAAGAGGTAAATAATGTACTGGATTTGAAACCTCAATGCTTTGGGGGATTGAACATAAGTTTCTATTAAGGAGACTGCTCAGAAGTTTCTCTCTCAATTCCCTTTCTTTCTGCTGAAGGCCCAGAGCTCGACGTTTTTCTTCCTCAACACGTCTCAGCTCTGCTTCTTGCTGTTTCCTTCTTTCTTCCAACTGTAAAAGTCGGATCCTTTCTGCTTCCTTTTGTTCCTCTTCATGAAGCTTTAGAGACTAACAAAGAGATAAAGTTAAAACATTTTTTTTTTTTTTTTTTTTAAAAAGAAAGATAGCTTTGCATTATAAATTTTTTTTTGTAAAATAGGCAGCAGGCAAGAAACAGTTTTTTACATCGTTTTAGCCAACAAAAAAATGCCACAGAATCTTAAAAATTAAATAACTATCAAATCCAAAAAGAGAGGTTTGTCAACAAAAAAAAAAAACACAGTCCACATTATCCTCTCTCAGCTGCACTGTCATAACTGGGGATCTTGCATTTTTAGAAATACTCTTCACACTGACATGTCTGCCACCATGGTAACAGAAACAGAAAAGCTAGATATAAACGACCTAAGAAAATGAGATCCACCAGAGATGATGTTTGTGGTTGCAATGAAATGCCATAGGTATCTATTTGCACAACACACACAAGGATTTTTGTTCCACCAGTTATTGCAAGTTACAGCTAATAAGAAATGGCAAGGTCATGGTGGAAACTACTTTAAAGGAAGAGTGTAGACACTTTAACAACTTCATCTTAATAAAGTTGTTATAGTAACCTGCAGTACTGCCCCACCTCTCCTACCCCCCAAAACTCATTATTTCACAAACTAGAAGGCTTGAAAAGTGGCTTCACTCCATGCCTCCAAACTCTGGTTATCTTCCTTCCTGGCTCTCATACCGCAACATACCATGACATCATGCACCGGTCTGCCACTGGTCTGTATTCAATAATAGGCACATTCTGGCAAGCTCGGCACATGTGCCTAAGGCTCCTAATGCTCCTCTATGAGGAGAATTGGATTGGACAGATATCCAGAAGACACACCTCCAGGTTCACGTCACTTAAGGAGGATGTCGCAGCAGCACAGAGTCAGAAATGGTGAGTAATTTGTTTAGTTTATGGCCGCCCAGGCATAAAAAAAAAAAAAAAATGAAAATAAAACAATCACATCAGTAATGTAGCATTATGAATACAGAGATGTATTCATAATGCTACATGCCTTTTGGCACATTTTCCCCCCATACATTGGCACGTATATATGTATATATTGTAAGTACTTTAGAATTTCAACAAAATTGTCATAAGGATAAATATGCTTTACACTCAAAATAACAATGCTTTTTTATGTGAGAGGTACATTTTCCTCATGGCTTTATAATATTTGATTATTTCTACTAGCTGCTTAAAGAAGCACTCTAATGTTAGAAATACAAACATATTTCTATCATTAGAGGTACTCTTGGCAGTTTAGATAAATAAATTGAAAAACAGCCATTTTGCTTACGTTATATGCCAGACCACAGTCTCTTTGAGTTTTTGGTGCTTAGAGTAACCCATTACTAATAAATATTCAAAAACTATGTTGGTTCTCACCCCCCACCGATTGAAAAGTAAAAAAAAAAGTAACCTACACCAATTTCCTCACATTAATAATAATAAAAAAAAAAAAAATAACAGAGGCATTTTACAGCAAATATCAAGCAATGTTGCAGAGATTTTGATGAGCAGTCAGGACTGGGAGAAAAAATGATTTGCACCGTCCACAAGGTAACAGTTAGTGCAATTTATAACAATAACAAATTATATACATACACATATATATTATATACGCATATATATATATATTTTTTTTTATAAAAAGAAAAAGATTGAAGTATCCCATTGGGTTTATATACCACAATTTTAGAAACAGTTTTAAGTGCCATGTAATAAGCTGCTCAAGCTATTTAATGCTCTGTAAGTTAGAACATGAGATTTCAGTTATCCTACCTTCACTCTACTTAACAGCTCGGCAATTAATCTGATGGACTGAAGATTTCTTTGAGCCAGTAAAAGTCTTCTCTCTTCAAATCGGATTTTCTCCTGCAATCTCTTTTGTTCTTCAGCTTGCAATTTTTGCAATTTTTTCTTGTTCTTTCGAACTTCCCGTTCTTTTTGCTTCTCCTCCTTCCGCTTCATCTTCTCTTTCCTTTTTCTTTCTTTTTCAAGCTCTTCTTGCTCTTTTTGTCTGCTTTAATGCAACAATTAGTCCATTATTTAGAAAACACAGGAAACAGTGCCATAAAAATGGTTAGAAACCGTGTTTATGTCATTTCTATTACCGTGTGTAAGTATGAAACAAACCAGTAAGGTCTTTCAAAATTACATCTGTTGCTACATAAACAGAATACATACATTTATTAAGGGAACACAACTGGCTGGGGTGGTGGTAATGGTGCCAGGAGTGCCTTAGTAATTTATCAAACAGTTCAAGTATGTTCTGACAACTTACTTGGGTCCCTGGGTGCATGCACTGCAATGTTTTCCCTGTACTAAGCACGGCCCAATATAGAACTGAACTCCATGGTTGGCAGAATTGATATGATGTTCTCAGACAATGAGAGCGACCCTGCATAGCCAAGAGAAACAAACCAGATTCTCCACAAAGGAGGATCTGGAAGCAGGGCTGCAGCCGTAGGTGCCCAGAGGGTCCCAATCAAATTATCAGTTTTTTTAAATGCTTAGACTACCTAACAGGGTAAGCATTGAGACGTTTTCACATCATGCACAAATTGTGATTCTGTGATACATGATAAAGAAAGTATATAAGAAATTATAAAACTATTAAGGGAATATACACACTACTGATCGGGTATGGTGCAGCCTCCAGGGTTTCCTCAATCACTGAACAGCACAAGTGAGCAAGTAATGGAGTCACAGCACCAAAGTACACACAACAAAAAATATTTAATCCACCAACATACAGACTCAGTAACATCTCGACTCTATGAGGGGCTTTTGACAAAGATCTCTCAGGGGGTGGAATTTTGGTGCTGATATGCCATTATTTACATACTTATAGAAATAATAAGCATTCTGATAAGATACTTTTAAATGCATATAACTTGTATAAGAAATAGGGATACACCAAAATGAAAATTCTGGAAAATATATATATATATAAAAAAAAAAAAAAAGACACTTTGCTTTACAACCATTACAAGTCCCAACATTTTGAGCATAAAACAAAGATGTCTCTTGTCAACGTTACAAAACAAAAACATAGTGCTGAAATATTGTGTGATAAACCGATTAAACTTCAGTAAAAAGACAGATTACATCATGGAAACCAGTTTGTGAAGTACCATTTCCTACATGTAATTACATCTGAATTAACATTTGCCAGCTATGGAAGCATTTGGTGTTTTTTTGGGGATGTTGCGAATGTGATTCAAAAATAAGTCTGACCTCGTACAAGCATATTATCTATTCTGCCAGCTTAAATTCTATTTCTATCTTAAAAGATTAAATTGCCATACCGTTCTTCTTCCTTTTGTTTCTCTTCAGCTTCCTTCTCCTTTCTCTTCTGCTCCTCTCGTCGCTGCTCCAGTTCTTGCAGTTTCTGGCGTTCCAGCTGCCGCTTTTTAATAGATGCCTCACTCAGGTGTTTGGTTGAATCAAAAGACACCTGCAAGACAGCATGACAAAACACACTCAGAAAATCCTTATTTAGAGTGAGATTTCCTAACTAACAAAAAAAAGAAAAAAAACACACATCCATGGTTTAATAATGCCAATGCAACCACAATACAAGTACTCACTTCTCTGGAGTTCCAGGAGGTTAGACCCAGATAATGAAAGCATAAATACAAAGAGGAACAGGAACAGCACGAAACATAAAATCAATATAGTTTGCTCACCCCTTAGGGCAGGACTTTTTGAATCTAGGAGCCAGATTTGTTTTTTCTTCGTTTTTTTGTTTTTGTTTTTTTTTTTAAACAAAGCTTTTATTTCAATGCCAAAAGTACCAAATCTTAATGAGACGCTATATTTACCAGAACCACTACAGCTTAATGTCATGGTTCTGGTGTCTAAAGCCTGTCCCTGCAGGCTTTTTAATGTAAGCACTACTGCCAAGTAAGACCTCTAGAGGTGCTTTCCAACAGTATGCAGCTATGTTCTGCATCTCCATGGTCTGCATAGAGGCACTGAATGTCCATGGATTCAATGGATCTCAATGAGGAGACAATGATTGGTCCAGCACGTTGTTTTGCAGTGCATGCGCAATAGCCTTCCATTGTTTTCATCTGGGAAATCATGGGATTGGTGGAGATCAGCAACACTGATGATCTCAACCATGGAGACGGGGCCAGTTGTGGCAAGACCAGCTTGGCATGATAAAAAAAAAAAAAAATACCTTTCCCATGCAATCGGAGAGGTGTCGGTAACCAAAATAGTTTAACGCTATAGTGTCAGGAATACAGGTTTGTATTCCTGACACTATAGTGTTTTTTCATATTTACACATAAAGAAGACAAACACACTCACTGGCAGACTAACAGTTACACACAATGCCAGACACACACATTCTCTGATAAAATAAAACAAATCATTTTTTTAGTGTAAGTCCACGCAGCCTCCATACAGTTTGGAGAGCTAGAGTGGATCCTTTCCCTGGGGTCCAGCGTGACTGTCAGCTTCCTGCTCTGCTCCCACGCACGTGCACCATTTCAGGATGCCAGGTCTGGAGTGACATCATATCCCAGCTACCAACATCACAGCAGTGTACGCGAGGGAGCAGCGGAAGAACGTCAGTGTTTTAGTCCCCCCCCGCTTCTTACCTGGCCAGGGAGGGGGGGTATATGGCATGGACTCTGCAGAGGGGGCCCAGCAACACTCTTACTTCCCTTCCCAGCAGCTCCCCTGTCTAACTCTCATGGCCTATGTGCTGCATGGAGCGCTGCCATGGTAACCCGTGGCAACGCTCTGACTGCTTCGGGACTTGCGACATTTAGACAGGGGAGCTAAAGTGAACTGCTGGGAAGGGAAGTATGAGTGTGCTGCAGGCCCCCCAGGCCCATGACAACCATCTCGGTTATCATGCCCTGATCTGCATTATCGGCAATATCAGTATATTTCTAGGCAGATACCTAAATTGCAGAAAATTCTGAATATTGGCCTATAATATTGTCCAGACCGATAATCGGTCGTTCCTTACTCCTATCTCTGTTACAAATTTGCAAATTCTACTTTTAGAATAGCTAGAATTAGAATGGTACCACCTCAGAATTGTTTAGCATATCTTGAGGTAAACATTTTTTGAAAAAATGATCTTTTGGGAAATAGTACACCAGCAAAGTGATAGACTACATAAACATAAAAATATATTTGTAAAGCTCAATATTACACACCTTTATATTGCATGCCACTGCTTTTCCATCTTCACCTTTATGCATTAGTTTCATTCCCCGAAGAGCGTTCATAGCCTTTACAAATCCAGCATACTCCTTGTATTGAACATATGCCTCAAAATTTAAGTGGCCACCAAAACTAAATGTATGAAAGTTCCTACCAGTCATTTCTTCTCTATAAGGATCAAGCATTGGTATATCGACATTCCTGATCTGCCCAAATACACTGAAAACTTTAACAAGGACTTCTTCACTTGGTTTTTCTGAGCCAGAATCTTTAGAGGCAAACCACTTGCATGGTAATCCTTCGAGATGGATTGTATCTGGTCTTTCTCCTGGTAAGTTTTCATTCATATCTTTTGCATCACGGAAAAAGCAATCCCAGTCATGCCTAGTGGGAAATTCTATTTTATATTCAGCAGCTCTTACTTTTAAGATATCGGAGAATCCGCTAAGTTTTATACTTTTTCCATCCAGAGAAGAGACAAATGCCTTAACCAAACTTTTGTTATCGACTTCTCCTTCAAATCTGATAAAGTCCATTGTGCTTTTGGAAATACGCAGTGTAGAAAACTGGTGGTTATTTACCATGCCCTTTAAACGCTCCATAACTTCCCAGTTTGAAATGGACTTTCCAGGTTGCTTCAGTTGAGGAAGTGCCACACTGATGATCATTTTTGTGATAGGTTTTAGAAAAAGGCCACATGATGCGCACAGTTCTACAGCTTCGGATGTATCGTGGACTATAGTAGCTGCAGCCATAATCAAAATCCCTAGAAATAGCAAATAAAAAAAAATATATATTTGCATTAATCACCAAAAACGTACAGTCTAACATTTAATTGGCTTATTATTTAATAGGGTATCAAAAGCAGTACACAGAAGGACTGGCACATTGTAAGTACTAAACACATAAACATCTGAGTGTGTAGATAGATCTGTGTTTCGGTCATTTTCATAGATATTCATTAAAGGAACACTCCAAGCACCTCAACCACTTCAGTCCTCTCCCCTGGGAACTGCTGCGTGCAGGTTGCAGCCTCATGTGAAGCCAGAAGCTTTTGTGTCAGCAGAGTTCTCTGAGCCAATAAGCTGAAAGGCATTGTTTACATTAAAAAGGTTGCAGAGACACGGAGTACAATTTACATCACAGGTATGCTAGGTGCCAATGTATGTGACATATTTGTTTACAAACTCAATACAATAACATTAAAAGAAGCACTATAACATTTCATGCAAAGTAAGAAGCCAAACCATTTCAGAAAGGTTTGACTTCTTTCCTGAGGCTTGTCGTACTCCATGCCCCAACTCTTTGCTAGCAGCTTGTTAGCTAAACTAAGCCCTACTGTTCCCCACCTCAATGCAGCTGGAAGTGCAAGGCTTAACTCATTGGATAAGAGTGATCAGTTGACACTCTCAGCCAATGAGCTAGCACTGCACGGTTCCCTCAGGAGGAGGAGCTTCAGACAGGAACCAGAGAGGTCAGGAGCGGCGCTCAGAGTTCTCAGATAAGAAGTCAAGCCATTCTAAAATGGTTTGACTACTTACATTGGGAGATGCCAGGGCACTATTGACACCAAAAGCAATACAGTGTATTTAAATAGTTACAGTGCTTGGGGTGTTCCTTTAAGTCACTGTGTGAGAGTACTGATTCAAAGTCTTGAAAGACCACTTTAAGCACTATAACCAATTCATCCTATAGTTATAGTGCAGAGATCCTGTCCCCACAACCTTTCTTTTTAAAAATATTTCATTCCAGAGAATAACCCTTTTCAACGTGTAGTGCTACTACCCTGGGTTTTTAAAGGCACCCATACAACTTCAGCTCATTAAAGTCGTCTGGGTGCTGTGTCCCAGGTCGCTTAAGCCTGCAAAGGTAATTATTGCAGTTTTTAATAAACATCCAGTGTCACCTGCTTTCCTATGGGGGAAGTGCTAATGTGAGCGTGTCCATCGCCGCACACGTGTGTGTGTGCTCTCCCTCGCCAAAGCTGCAGGTGCTGGAATCAGGTAAGTGACAGAAGTTTTCAACTTGGGGGCATTTTTAAGTTTACTTAACTCAATCCAGTGTCAGGAACAGAGATCAATGAGAAAACTTTAATTGAGTATTTAAAGGACTCAGCGTGCATGCACATGCTTGGTGCACACAAGGAGAGGGGGATAGGGAGTGCACTGATTAAAAAAAAATAGCAGATGAGGTTCCCTCTGGGGGTGGGAAGGGAGACCTGCTTCTCCCTTGCAGGCTCTGACAACAAAAGTACAGGTATATTATGCACAAAATTGACATCAGGCAGCCTGAAACAGTGTTCTGGGCTGCCTAGGTCAAGTACATTGGTGGTGCAACTTGTCCCCAGCATTTTAATAGAAATATCTCTGCATGTGCAGTGTTTCAAGCAGATACACTGCACGTCCAGGCTCCTGCCACCATGTACACTTCAAAAAGCAGATCATGACCATGACGGTTTGATTAACCCTTTAACTGAACAATCATTCATTTTACGTGTATGCATCGCACAGGATCCTCTATCCCACGTATACACTGCCTGGCAATGTGACAGTGATGGAAGACTACATACACCGGGGGTTCCTCCCACCCCCAGCCATGCAGGAACACGTGGGTTATATTTATTAAAGCTTACCATGGAACGAATAATGCTGTCTGCACACCGGATCCTCCAGGTGACTGCTTGACAGGAAAGAAAACAAAAACACTAAATCGCCGGTTCTCAGAATACCGACTATGGCGCTGGGACAGGAACATCCGGCTGTGGCCGGGATCTGACTTCCGCTCCCAGACTGCTCCCTGCTTCCGGTCCAGTTTCTATGGTGACAGTTGCAACAGACTTCCGGCGGCCATGTTTTTGGAGCCTAACGCGCGTTCTTTCCTGTGTGTTTTTTTGAACTGGAGTGTTCTGCTGTGTGACTGGGAATGCGTGACGTTTAGTGAGAGGTGTTATATAATGGCCGAGCTGGCCGTGTGTGAGCAGTGTATATATCATACATGGCCATGTCATATGTTAAAGTATGGTTTTTTTTCTACTCTGGCAGTAAGCTTATTGAATTACTGACGCTGTTAATACAACTCTATGTAATGTTTGTATGTACAATATTGCAACTTCATAACAAGTCACATAACCAACTTCTAACACAAAATGATCTGTGTAAGAGGTTGGTGAGAGGGTATCGGCCGTTGGAGACGGCAAGCTGCTGTTCAGTAATGGAGCTGCTTATTCCCATTCACTGGATCTAAGTAGAGAGCATGGCAGAGCTCTTAAAAGTGATTAAGCTGCAGATTCCCTTCAAAGAACGAGACAAGGCTACGTTTTGAAGGGTCAAGAAGAACTGAATTTTAATGGCAGGTACTCCCCTTTTATGCGATGCTTCCCATGCATGGGAGCCACCCACATAATTATTACAGTAACCAATACAACACAAGTTACAACCCACACATCTCCTCCCCTTAGATAAGTGTTTAACATAATTAACAAGCACACATTTTTCCCCAAGTCTTGGATGTACCCCAAATATCTGTGGTACATTCATAAATCCGGTATTCCCTGATAGCCCTAATCTGGGGGAGCAACATATTTAAAAATCACCCAGATCGGGTCAGGGGTTCGGGAGTTATGGAACTTTAAAGTTTTGACCGACCGCACAGGCAGAATAGCCGAAAACAGTTCCATAAATTTTGGCCTTGCAGTCGGTCTCCGTTCGTGGATTAAAAGTCCTGTAATGCTTGCCATCCGTGAATATCCTGGGATTTGTTAGAATCCCCATGTTTAACTTAGTCTATCCCGCCATTCGGTAGTTTCGGCATGAATTTATGGAAGTCTGGAGGTCTCAGCGGTGTTTGGCTAGTCGAGTGTCCGATTTTAGTTCCAGGCACTCAATGGCAAAACACTGCTGTTTCAGGAGTTTAAGATGGCCGCTGCCACGTGTAAAACTCCCGAAATGGCGGCCACCCAGGGACTTAAACAGAGCGTTCGTGGGTTTTCCATATGACTGTATTAGCCGAACAGGGAGGTAAATTGAAGCACAATTAGGTATCAGGGTGGTCCGGTGTTGGGTCAAAACAATTAAACGAATGCTTTAATCTACCGAAAGTCTTTAGAGAAAATCCACACGAAAGCAGGTAGAACATACAATTTTCAGACAGCTTGATGTCCTTTGCTGGATAAGAGGTATATATATATATAATCCGTGGTCTTTGTTACTTGATATGTCTCCGGCTAGTTCTTAAAGGGCCAGTAATGCCATAAACGAACGGTCTTTGTATTTATGTGCAGGGTAAAGTGGGAAAAGGCAAGAAAATGGTGGATGCTCCCAGGCACATTGTAGGGATTTGTTACAATCTGCATTTAGGACCTTTATTTATATCCTACATTAAGCTACTACTGTAGTTACTCCCATAGATGCCAAAGTATAAAATAAATAATTCAAGGAAACGTTGATTTATCAAAGAGTCGCCAACAAAGTCTAATGTTCGGCAAATACATTTTGCACCCTGACATTTTCAACGACTGTTTTATCGATCTCATTTGACCGAGAAAGTTTTTCGTTTCAATTAACTTTTTTTTTCTCTCAAAATTTAACACACTTAAAAACACTCAAGATATACCATCTAAATAATGATGGGATTTAACCCCTTCAGGACCGGACTGTTTTTGTGATGTTTGTGCGTTAAGGTCCAGAGCTATAGCTTAACACTTTTGTGGTGTTTGTGTTTAGCTGTAATTTTCCGCTCTCATTTACTGTTCCGATACAAATTATATATTGTTTTTTTCAGGACAAAAAGGGCTTTCTTTACATACTTTTATTTTTATCGTGTCATATAATTAAATTTTTAAAAAATAATAAAATATGGTGAAAAATAAAAAACAAGTAAAAAATACGTAAAAAATCTTTTACTGATCTACAAAATCGAATGAAACAAACTGCTAAATAGATTCAAAATTTTGTCCTGAGTTTAAAAACACCAGTTATAGGGCTATAAGTACAAGTAGGAAATTGCTGATTCAAAATGTACATTTTTCAAATGTATCAATAGTGACATTGTAACACTGTTATGTCATAAATCTCCAAAAAACACCCCACATGTATATATTTTTCTTAAACTAGATAACCCAGGGTATTCATCTAAGAATATTTTGATACTTTCTATGCATCCATTTTACCACAAACCTTTGCCAAACTATGCATAGGTAGTTTATTTTTTTTATTTTTTTCACATACATTGCAATTCAGGTATAAATTCACAGATTCTGTTAGGTGTCACTACCAAACAACACCCCAATATGTGTTCAGCAACATCTCCCGAGTACAGGGATACCCCCCATGTATAGGTGTGTTGGCAGGTGTGCATATCAGTTTCCCAGCTTGGAATTTTGACATGTAGTCAACCTGCATGCATGTCCTATTTGGGACATTTTTGAAGCCGGCCAATGTATTTTACCCCCATCAAACCATATATTTTTGAAAAGTAGACACCCGAGGGTATTTCACATGGTTGTAGTTTAACACTTTCCATGCACTAATTCTACCACCGGGCTTTGTCAAACATTGAGTTAGTAAATTTTTTTCAGTTTTTTTCACACACATTGTACTTTAGGCATGAATTAACAGATCCTGTTATGTGTCACTGCCAAACAACACCCCAATATATGTTCAGCAACAGCTACCGAGTACAGGGATACCCCCCATGTATAGGTGTGTTGGGTTGTTTGGGGGCTAAAAGGCCACATTTTTGCAGGTGCGCATATCAGTTTCCCAGCTTGGAATTTTGACACGTAGTCAACCTGCATGCATGTCCTATTTGGGACATTTTTGAAGCCGGCCAATGTATTTTACCCCCATCAAACCATATATTTTTGAAAAGTAGACATCATAGAGGTATTTCACATGGTGGTATTTTAACACTTTCCATGCACTAATTCTACCAACAGGCTTTGTCAAACACTGAGTTAGTAATTTTTTTTCTGTTTTTTTCACACATTGTACTTTAGGCATGAATTAACAGATCCTGTTATGTATCACTGCCAAACAACACCACAATATGTGTTCAGCAAGATCTCCTGAATACAGTGATACCACCCATGCATAGGCTTGTCGGGTTCTTTGGGGGCTAAAAGGCCACGTTTGGCAGGTGCGTTTATCAGTTTCCCAACTTGGAATTTTGACATGTAATCAACCTGCCCCATGTCACATTTGAGCCAATGTATTTTACTCCCATCAAACCATATATTTTTGAAAAGTAGACAACCCAGGGTATTTTAAATGGTGGTATTTTAGCACTTTTCATGCACTGAATTCTACCACCAGCCTTTGTCAAACTTTTGGGTAGTAATCTTTTTTTGTTTTTTTGTCACACACATTGTACTTTAGGCATGAATTAACAGATCCTGTTATATGTCACTGCCAAACACTGCCCAATATGTTCAGCAACATCTCCCGAGTACAGTGATACCCCCCATGTATAGGGTTGCTGAATTGTTTGGGGGCCAAAAGGCAACAATCAGAACTTGTACATGTCAGTTTTTCAACTTGATATATAGGTATGCTTGGTCTATCTTCAGTTTGACATATTTTTGCACCCCCCAGTTAATGTTACCATCATGACAGTATATATAGTATATATTTTTATAAAGTAGACATCAAAGGTTATAGAAGATGGGGTGTTTTGACTTCTTTCCCCCAACCATTTTGCCCCCCAAAGAAAGTGTAGTGGTAATTTTTTAATTCTGGTTTTTATGCACACGTCATCTGGTTTTGGCCAGCTGGTTATGTGTTACTGCCAGAAAACTTGTTAGACCAAATGTGCAGGTAGCAAATGTACATTTAGCAGCAATCTTTAAACTGACTCCTGCAAATAGAATCTAACTGGAGATTTGGGGGAAGGAAACTGACTAACAAAAAATGGCTGCTTTCCAAAGAAACAAAAAATAAAATAAAAATTCAGGAACACTTCTTACAACTGTTCTGTGTGGTACAGCTTGAAACATGTTCCTACACACAGTCCTGGTTTCGAAGGGCAATCAGGACAGTGAAAAGAGGTGTCTGTCCTTTTCCTGTTTTTAAAACAGACCCGGCAACGTTTCTGGGGGTTTTTTTTTCTAGCAGTTGGCGGTAACTTAAAAATAAAATGTCTGGACTCAGCTTGCACCGTTGTTGGAACTTGTCCATCTCCATAAATTGTTAAAGAAATTATTTTCAACTGAAATTGGAGAAAGGTGGTTTTCCCTGGATTATTTTTTTTAAAAAGCAAAAATGAGTTGTGGGTTGCAAGTTGCATCATATAGATAGCCACCTTTTTATACCATGCTTTGATTTTTTGTAAAATAAGATATGGCTGCATCAGCTGATCAGCCAAATCAACACCCCCCATGTACTTATTATACGCCCTGATGCAAACCGGTTTGGACTCTACTCTGCCCCAGACAGAGACATCTGACATGCGTTCGTCATGGATGGTGGTTAGCATGTTGATATCCTTCCTGTCCCTATATTTTAGTGCAAGCACTTCAGCTTTGCAAAGTGCTTTACATTCACCTTTTTTTTTATTTTGCCTCTATGAGAGATCGTGGAAAGTCTTTGGAATTTTTTTCTGGCAGTGCCGCAGGCCAGTGTCTGTAAACCATAAAGTGTTTTAAACAGACGGACACTACTATAAAAATTATCCACATAAAGGTGGTAACCTTTCTTAAACAAGGGGTTTAGTAGGTCCCATACAAGTTTCCCACTTGTCCCCAGGGAGTCAGGACAGCCAGGAGGGTCCAGTTGACCATCTTTCCC